CTGTTCACTTTTCTTTTTCTTTCACTTCCTCCCTCCGGTGCCCTCTCATCACCCCTCTCGCTTAACAACCTACCCCCTCTTTCTCATTTCCTCCCTGCTCGTCCGTTGCCCTCTCTCGTTTCACCCTTCTCTGCTCTTCATATTCCATTCCGGCCCATTCCTGCTGATATGATAGTGGTTCTTCTAAGCAGTATCCTTGGAGATGGTGATTTATGAATTCCTGGACATGAGTCTGGTATTTCTCATGTCCTGTCTTCCATCTTGCTCAAGCCCTCTCTTCCTTCAGTCATTAACCAGTCAGAACATGGCCTCCTGTCTTTCAAACATACTTAGCTACTCTCTTCTCCTCCTTTGCAAAGAAATCACGCCAGTTCCAGAACGAATGCAGAGCAGTTTAACATTTCCAAAATCCAAACTAACCTCACTTCTAATTGGATTATGAGTGCAGTGGTAATTAGGCATTGGAGTATTTTTCCTTTGTGTCGTTGTTGCTGTTAAATGGAGCATGACGTTAAACTCTAATGTTTGCTCATGAAGTGCACACATCTACCTCCCAAACAAGAAAAGCCAAGTGAAACCAAACTTAGAGCTATGCTCCTTCAGTCTCCTGCTCTTGACCTCCTTCAGCTCACTCTTCGTGTTGCTCTTCTCCCCTTTTGTTTAGCCAGTCTGTGTGTGTGCACAGAGCAATGGCATGTCTTTGCATGCAGCCCTTCCCTGTCAGGAATGCAGAGCAAAGGAGAGATGGAGCCAAGGAGGAAAAGAGTGCACATGCAAAGAGAGAGAGGGGATTTCAAGACCTAAAAGGTGGAAAGGAGAGAATAGGCCAAAGAATACCTGAAGGTCAAGAACTGGTGATATCCTGGTCCACCTTTTCAAGGGCTTGATGCATTAATATGATGTCTAAAATCCATGTGTTGTCTATCAACAAAGCAGTGACAATAGCATTGGTGTTTAATGCACAGGGTGTATGATAGGAGTCCCTATTCTGGCCCAGGTTTTGTCTGCACATGCACAGACATTTCATACAGGCCACACACACTCACTATTGCATGCGGCGCACATAGTCTAGTTTGTAGAAATGGAGGGTGAAGAGGTGAAGTTTGTTCTGGGACCTAGATTGACTGATTCTCCTTTTTTAGAATCAGTTCTGTCCTTTTTTTTTTTAGAGGGAGAAGGTGGCAGCCAGATAATGTGTTTTTGTTACATTTTCTAGCTATGGCAGCTGATACAGCACTCTTTTGTCTAATTGAGGAGGTTGGTATTACAGGGTGGGTCATTGGGTTCAGTGTGTGGAGTGTCTCCTGGCCCTGCTGACCTCTATCTGGGCCTATAGAAAACCCCCTGGCACTAAAGACCTTCAGTCGGCACTGTTTTCACTGGCTAAGACCTTGCCTAAACATACTACACCACTCCCACACGCCCAGAACGCATCGCCAAATGAAGGTCTTACAGAGCAACTTGGAACTGCTCTGATTTTTATTTATTCATTTTGGTTTTAACACGGTTGGGCGCCTGACCCGCCTGTCATTTAGATCCCAGCTATGATTGGCTGGAGACTTCGATGTTGTAGGCCCGGAGCTGAGCTGTTGCCAGGCCCCAAGGCGCATCTGCTGTGGTTGTGACTCATCTACTGCTGGCCTGGAATCAGTGTTTTCTTTGTCTCAAATAGGTGGAATGTCCGCTGACTTTCAGACCCAACCTGTTGGGCCAGCCATGCATCTCTCGGAGCAGTGGAGAGACGACTGCATGCTATAACACACTTTGTCCAAAAAGCCCTCATTTGGACTGGTTTGGGTGTTTGTGTGTGGGTTTTTGTTGTAGTTTTAATAGTCCACTGTCTCATTCAGTATATTAATAGATGGTTAACTTCCTACAAATACATTTTTTTCAGCGTAGGCCCGCCTTATAACGTCAACACTGTAATGATTTGAATTACTGGCATTTTTCTCAACCCCACGATCTTTATTTTCCTTGTTATCTGTTGTCTCATCAGATTAAGGCTCAACACACCCATCAATCACAAGGCCAGTGGCGTCACAGCGTTTCCATAAACTGCCTTTATTTTTCTCCTCCTCCCCTCTTTTTATTGAGTGATGTGTTTTCTCATTAAATTAAGAGACTGTATCTCCAGGGTGGTTGTCTCCTGATGAGGTTAGCATACTTGTAGCAGCTTGTTATTACTGATAAAAGTCAGACTACAAGTTGTTCAGTCTCTAGAAGCACGTAGTGTTGTATGTTAATTTAATCTGAAAACGTACATCAACATTTTTTCATAGTTACATCTTTAATTCTCCCCAGAAGCTCTTATGTAACCCTTTAATTTTGTATTGTAACCCCAAGTATGCATCTCCGACAAACAAATGAGTACGTAATCAGAAGTCGGCTGTTCTAACTCATGTCCGTGCCACTCATTCATGCTTCCTCCTTGCGAAAGGTTCGCTGTACACAGTGCCAGTAGTCAGTGCTATGCAGCAACATCTGCTTTGGTGAGAGCAGGTGGCAGCTGAGTTATGCCATGTCTTGCCTGCATAGAGGAAAGGAAGGTGACTGTGACGTTAGCAGAGAATAAAGAGTAAACCTCTGTCTGCCAGACGATGGAATGTGGCCGTTGGTTTCCATTCACGTCACACGTTGCGTAAGAGGGTCGGACTCGTGCGGCTCAGTGGTACTTTCATTGTCTCCACCTGCTCCGTCACATATAACGACAAACTGCGCATGCGACTACATATTACTTGTTGAACCAAAAAAAAAGGCCACTTTGAGTTAAAAGCCACCTGCTCTTTAACTTTCATGTCTGATTCATTAAAGCACTTTGTCCACAGTAACTCGGCAGTGGCTGCGGAGGCCCAGGCTAAGCCCCACTGATCTTGAATGGATGTCTTCTATTTTCAGTGACCGCGAGGCTCCAATAGTTAGAAGCAAATTAATGGAAAGTTCCCTGAACACGGGATTTCCATTACAGCAGCAAACCGCTTTCTCTTGTGTGGTCACAAGTAGCACATGAGCACTCCATATATCAAGTGTAACAAGAATTTTAAACTGTATATATCACATAGGTCTTCATATACAGTATGCATGATATACTATGTCTTATATAACGCTGGGTATTGTTTGAGTAGTGCCAGTAAGATACCTGAGTACTGACACGCAAATTACTTTTATAGATACTTTACTTTATACACACACACA